GAATGGGGCGAAGGACGGAGGGGCTCTGAAATGGGGGGGGGGGGGCTCTGGGGTACGGCGGGACCACCCCCGCCCCGAGCCCGGGAACAGAGCAGACACCCCCACACCCGAAATTAGGGGGAACCAGACTCCCCCCGCCCATATATCCCGGGGGGTGCGCGGGGGACACTGCGACACGCACCCCCAATTCCATCCCACCCGCCCAGGCAGAGGCAGCACTTTCGGGTTCAGTCCTTTATTTGCTTCATCCAACACCCCCAAATCCGGGGGAGTCCGTAAGGGCACTTGTGGTTATGGGGGGGACACTCACCCCTCCCAGGGTCCTGAGGGGGGGGGGGTCACAGCACCGATCCATTGTGCAGATGGGGAAACTGAGGCACAGCGCTGAGAGAGGCACTTTGGCACTTCGGAACACGGGGTGCAGAGTGCAAGAACGAGAACGGGGAATCCCAGGCCAGGCGGGGTCTCCCCTTGAGAAAGAGGACAGTTTAGACAGGGAAACTGAGGCACAGAGACGGGAGAGGCACTTTGGCACTTCGGAAAGGAGGACGCGGGGGGGGCACATGAATTCCGCCGGATTCTCCGAGCCCGGCGTGGGGATTCCGGGCCGGCAGATCTCATCCCTTGACGAAGAGGATGGCGCTGACCAGCGCGAAGCCGGCGAGGATCAGGATGACCTTGGGGATGCGATTTCGGGGCGCCCCCAGCTCCTGGGGCAGAATCTCCAGGAAGGTGACGAAGAGGAAGGTGCCGGCCGCCAGCCCCTCCAGCACGGCCCGGCACAGGCGCTGCCGCGGCCCCGCGCCCGCCGCCAGCGCCGTGCCCACGCCGACGCCCAGCGGGGACATGAGCGCCAGCAGCACGAGGCACGAGGCCACGGCGGGCGGGCGCAGGCGGCTCCGCAGCAGCTCCAGCGAGAGGCCGAAGGCCACGGCGCCCTTGTGCAGCAGCAGGGCCAGCAGCACCCGCAGCGCGGCCGCGTCGCCCTGGCGCAGGCCCAGCGCCAGGCCCTCCAGCACCGCGTGCAGCGCCAGCGCCAGCGCCAGCGCCGCCGCCCGCAGCGCGCCGGGGCCGCCGCCGGCCGCCGGCACCGAGCCCACCGGGCCCACCGGGCCGCCGGGCAACGCGGCCTGGATGGAGCCGCTGGGCAGCAGCGCCCGCGACTCCTCGGGAGGCTCGGCCAGCTCCCGCTGCGCCAGCGTCGCCTGCTCCAGCACCAGCACCAGGAAGAAGCCCATGGCCAGGATGAACTCCGGCAGGGGGAACTGCAGCTGCGGGAGGGGGGGGTCAGTGCCAAGGGGAAGCTGCGGCCGATGAGGATCTTTCCATGCGTCATGTGGGGCACAAGGGGCTCCCGGCGCCGCGGGGGGACGTTGTCACCATCCCGGGGGACGTTGCCACCGTTCCAGCTGCTCCGCTGGCACCGGGCTGGCCCTGCTGTCCCTGTCCCTACTGTCCATTCCGTGCTGCCCCAGCCCCTCTGTCCTTCCCCATCCTCAATGTCCTCAGCGCCCCATTCTCACTGTCCGTCTTCTGTCCTTGTCCCTCTGTCACTGTCCCTCCCCTGTCCCCATTCCCTCCCCTCCAGCCCCTTTCCCAGCAGCCGGAGCTGCTGACCCCGATGCCGGGGACAGGGACACCCGTGGGGACAGGGACAGGGGCAGGTCCCCGGGGTGTCCCGGGGGCCTCACCGTGATGCGCAGCCCCTCCAGCGCCGCAGCGATGCTGCCCAGGTAGTCAGGCAGAAGGTCGAGCAGGAAGGTGCCCATGAAAACGCCGCCCGAGAAGCAGCTCACGAGGCTGAGCATGGGGCTGCGGGGGTCTGGGGGGGGAAATTTGGGGGCTGAGACCCCAAACAGACCCTCCCCCCTCAGCCCTCCCTTGGGGACAGCCCTGAGATGGGGACAGCCCTGGTCCCAGCCTGCTCCAGACCCTCGGGAACCCTGAGACCCCCCAAACTCCATGAGCCCCCAGAATGCCCCAGACTCCCCCCACTCCACAATCCCCTCGGGGATCCCCCTCAAACCCCCGAGCCCCCCCGGACCACCATTTCCGTTACCGGGGGGCTGTCGGAAGCACCAGAGGGGTGCGAGGCCGCAGGCGAGGGGCAGCAGCAGCAGCATCACCAGCGACCCCAACTTCACGCCCAGCCCGGGCGGGGGCTGCGGGGCCGCCCCGGGGCTCCAGGCCAGCGCGGCCCCGGTCCCGGTGTCCATCGTGCTCCCGGAGCTCAGCGCCCGCCGCCGGGGAAGCTCCGAGCCGCGCTGCGCATCCTCGGGAAGCGGGGCTGCAACGGGACGGGCCGGTCAGAGCCGCCCCCCGGCCCCGGTGACTCACCCGGCGCCGACCCCCCCGCCCGGGGGCCCCGGGACGCGGACAGGGCGGCGGGGAGGGACCGGAGAGGGGGACCGGGACGGGGAACTCGGGAGCACAGACCGCGATAGGGGTCAAGGACCGCCACCGGGGACCACGACCGGGATCAAGGACCGGGACTCAGACTCGGATCAAGAACCGGGATTGCGAACCGGGAGCAAGGAACGGCACCGAGCGGGATCGGGAAATAAGCGCCGGGATCGGCGTTTCCGGGACGAGGGTGGGGATCGGGGTGAGGGAGGGCAGGGCGGGAGGCCGGCACCGGCACCGGGACCGGGACCCGCTCCCCCGCACTCACCGCCCGCCGCATCCCGAGCGCGTCCCGGGAACTCCGGGGGGCGGCGCCGGCCCCGCCGGCCCGGCCAATAGCGACGCGGAACCCCCGCTGGCGTCGCTGATTGACGCGCGGCGCAGCCAATGGGGAGCGAGCGCGGCCCCGCGGCCGCGGGAGCGCGCACGTGTCCGGGCGGGGCGGGGGAACCCTCCCGGTCCCGCCGCGCCGCTCCTCGGACGCCGTTACCGGCAGGACCCCCCCGTCCCTGCACTCCCGGAACCCGTTACCGGGGGCATCCCCCCGTTCCTCCGCCCCGAGCTCCGTTACCGGGGCTGAGGGTGGCACCGGCTCCGGTCCAGAGCCACCCGCGACCGTCCCGGAGCCCCCCCAAGCCCGGCCCCGTTTGCGGTTCCCCCGCGAGACCCTCCGGGACGCGGTACCGGGGCAGGCGCACCCCCCGCTGGCCCTGGTGCCCCGGTAGGGCGGCGGAGCCCCGCTGGGGAGGGATGATCCCGGCCCTTCCCGGCACGGGGCGGGACTTGGCTGGATTCCCCGGGATCCCGGAGATCCTGGTGCCCAGCGCCGGCACCGGGCGGAGGCGGCGGCACCACCGGGAACCGGGGAACCCCGAGGAGGGGGCGCAGGGGGCTCATCCCCGGGCGTCGGGGCACGAG